TGCCTAAAAAGTAAGATTAGAATTCAATTACACTGTAAGAATGCAAAATGAAGCAAGAAGATTAGAATTCAATTACACTGTAAGAATGCAAAATGAAGCAAGAAGAAAAAGAGTTTCTTTGGCTCAATAAATTTAATGACTAAAGTACAAAGTTTAATCACTACTTGGAAAAAAAATCTTATATTTTTTACAATTTTAAACGTAATTATGCGTAATTATGCGTAACACTTTCTTTTACTTACGGAGTAGCATTACGCGAAATTACGTGTTAATTACGTATATGAATGAAAGTCCAGTTTCACATAATTAAGGCATACTTCCGCAAAATTGCGTAATACAAAACCATTCTGTAATTAGTAAAGTACATATTAATTCTAAGAAATGAATATATAGCGGGAAAAAAGTGTAAGGATATGCGCACTACAACCATGTCCAATCTGATTGGATAATTTAAATACTTTCTGTACAGAGAAAAAAAGTATATGTTTATTGAAAATATATTTCGGTTTAGGTTGACCCTCGTCAGTTCTAACAGTATAATAACCATCAAAACCGATGTTAAAAATCACAAGAAAATAAATCAACAAAAAAGATTTTTTGAAATTTTTTTTAATAGGCTGTGTCAAATGGACAAAAAAGGAAACAAACTCAGATCATGAGATGGAAAAAAAAGATAATGCCCCCCTCCCCCCTGATTTACATAAGTGAAACAGCAGGGTAGCTCTTTAAGGATGGAATCCATTAATTTCTGGAAGATGTTCCCAGCCTTCCGGGGCCCAAAGGGAAGACTCAGTAACTCAAACATGCCAAACAGTGTGATGATGGCAGTCTTGCAGATGTCCTCTGGGGCCATGGGAACTTGGTAATAGCCTTACTGCAGGTCAAGCTGTGAAATCAGCTATGTTGGCTACCAATCTTGAGATCTTTCTTAAAATCAAATATAATAGTTACTATCTGTTTACGTTATGAATCCCTATCTGTCTCCATGCCAACCTTCGATTCATGCTGCACTGATTTTCTCTTTAGTTCTTTTTGTGTATGTAATTTTTTTTAATGCTATAATTCAATTAAAGAATTTGGTTAACAGGGGGGCTCAGCTAAAACAGCCCACGGCTATTGAGTCCGCCTGCTGTGGAAAATAATATTTTACATATTGTGATTTTAAAAAATTAATTCGTAAATATTGTTTTTTTTTCTGCAGAAATAAATGATTTGATTTGATTTGATTTGATCTGAATGGTAACTGTGTTTAACCTCCTGTAATCTCTGCAGAGGGTGCCAACCTCCATCCTTCTTCTTGACCATATGTAAGAAAGAGGACCAAGGCGAGCTTGACCTACAGATGATTCCTGCTTTTCCATGGCAGACAACTTCTCCAGGTTTAGGCGTCTAGCTTTGGCAACAACTGGAGGAACGGGCAGGGTGAAAAGATTATGGCTGACTCTGTGACGAGGTTTGGAGACTGCAAATCCTTCTGAGGACACAACATTAGGGAACTCGTAGAGGAGGTCTGAGAATCAGCACTGAAAACTTCTCTGATTGGCAGCTGAAAAGGCCAATCAAACCTGTGGTCTCTGAAACATAGAGGAACTATGTGTCATCTGTAACATGAGAGAGAAGAACCATTGCTGGCTGACACAAGATCTTGAAGTAGAGGGTGGTTCACTGAGTGAATGCTGAAGGTAGACAAGAGGAACTGGCAGGTAGGGAACAAACATCCTCCTGCTGGAGTACTAGTTTCCCGACCAGGAGCAAGTAGCTCTGCACTTCTTGGCTTGTGACCCCTATTAACAATGGTAATAACAGAGGGTAGGAGACTGAGAATGGCTGTCCTGGGGGTTGCTGGCATGTGGAATAGCTAAATGGTGGAGCCGGTTTGATGAATATTGAATAGAGTTGAGGGAATGCTGCTCGTATTGGAGACGGAGAAAACTGAAGAGAAGCAACTCTGCTCTGCTAAATTTCATCAGCCTTTAGGGGAAGGGTAATGGGTTTGGAGAAATCATCTCTGAGTAGATAGGCACGTATGTCAGCACTCAGCAGGTGAACGCTGTAGGAAAACTCCAGAGGAAAAAACAATGTTTATGACCAACAGGGAGAAGGGCCAACATATTTGAGCTTAGAAGGCTACATGTCGCCGGACAAGGGCAGGTTGGATATAGCTTCATACCTCATGAAATCATGTTGGGCAAAGAGCTTTAGCAACCGTCTCTTCAGTGCTTCATAAGGTTCGTCAGCAGGAGGAGACTTGATGGAATCTAAAACCTGGTCTGCAGTCTCTTGGATGAAGGATGACACACAAGTAATAGAACTTCATGGACCGTGACCACTCCCTTGAGAGCAAACTGTGCTTCCTGTTTGGATTAACCAGGCTTCTGCAGAATCAGCCCAAAACGCAGGTACTTTAATGGACACCGTGTTCAACAGGTCCAAAAAGCTTAAGTCAGTCAGGGCTGAAACACTTTCAATGTCTATGGCAGAAAACAGTCTTTTGAGAGCTATAGATAGATGAAACTCAGGGTCACCAATTTGGCAATGCTCAATAAGGACAAAGTTTAATGACTAAAGTACAAAGTTTAACGACTAAAGTTTATTAAACTTTTTGGAAAAAACTATATCTTATATTTTTACAATGTGGAAAATATCTGGTCTGCTGGAATCTTCTCTTCTCAACACTATGTTGAGTTCTGTTGAAAACCTAGGGATTGTATTCTGCCACATGTTCACAAAAAGTTAAAAAGTACATCAATCTGCTATCCTTCACAGCTGATTTGTTTAACCTTTTAAAATGTCATTTTACAGCTGTTGGTTAAATTTAGAATGATGTTTTATAATTTTGTAGAGTGTTCTAAATGTTAGAGCTCAGGGGCCCAGACAGAAATTTGTCCAGGGAGGTGGGGGGCGGGAGAAAAGAGAAATACGCCCAACACTTTGACCCCTAGAAGTATGAGTTCGCGGACTGTACAATTCTTGGTGATTTTGCGTACATAAGCTATCTATGTTTATTTATTTATCTATGGTATTACTTGGTCTGAAAAGACGCCAAATAAAATAAAATATCAAAAATAATCATGCAATAGGACGAAAAATCTCTAAGATAGTCCTTTCAGGGTTAGAATTAGAATCTAAATTTTGATTTTACCATTTTAGATTACTAGCTAAAAAAACTGAAAAATATTCCTCCTTTGTTATTTTCGTAAATAAAATATTTACCAAGAAAAACTATTTGTATTTATTGAACCATGAAATTTAATCAAAAAAGAATTTAAATGGAACAGAAATCTTAAATAAAATATGAAAAAGATATTTCTTTATTAAAAGCTAGGGTTTGGTAGACAACAATTTTCATTTAGTGTAGCTGATATAAAAACAATGGGAATGAAGACACTTGCTCGAGGGATTAAACTTCCATTGGTTTTAATTTTGTTAAAAAAAATTTGTTGCCAAATGACACTCTTTATTCTTCAAACCCCAGTCTAGCTGAAATGTTAGAAATATCCCTTTATTCTAGCTGATAATTAATAATTTTTGATAAAATTATACCTGAGCTTCAAAAGCTGTCATCAGTTTCGTCACAGCAGCCTTCAAAATATTATTGTTACTTGCGTCAGGTTTAATAAAAAAAAAAAAACATAGTAATAAACCCTATCACGGCGCGCAGGTTGGGAGGGGGGGGGTGTTCTCCACCCCCTCCCCCTCTGGTTTTTCTAAATAACTTTAAAATGGCTTACACTAGAACGCTGAAACTTATCCAACTTTTTAACATCATATCATAGTTGTGAACAAATTTAGACAACTTTTTAACATCATAGTTGTGAACAAATTTGAACAACTTTTTAACATCATATCATAGTTGTGAACAAATTTGAACAACTTTTTTTTATGCATAGGGTAGGGTGGAGGATAGTCAAACTGTGAGTCTGTGGGTCGGTGTTTAAAAAAAATTTGGAATGGTTAATAACTTTTTTTGTTAATTAAGCTAAGAGGCTAAAATTTATATATTTGAGAGCCCTCGAAAAATATTATAAATGTGTTACATGATAATATTTATCAAAGTAAAATAAAAATTTTGAACATTTTTCCAACCTACTTTTTGAACTTTTTGAAATCCTCCCTTGCAGCCTAACCATTACAGTTAGAGGTCTAATTGTTTTATAATGAGCAGCCATAAAAAAGTTGGACACACTCCCATATCTCATCTCTAAGGGGAAAATCATAGGTAGGGTTTCCATTCGCAAAACTTTTGCGCAATTTTTGCGGAACGAAACGCAAACTTTTTCTTTTTTGCGCATCAGTTTTGCGCGAAAAAACAACAATTTGCGCAATCATTCGCAAAAGTCATTTCGCGCAAAACTATAGTTTTGCGCAATTCCGCAATTTCGTAAAAATCAAACGGTTGGTGACGGTGTGTGTTTCTTATAATTCAATTCTGGAAAAATCTTGTTTTGGAATGTCTTCCTATTGGCCACTTTTACATAATTGACCAATGACAGTTAAGAAGAGTTCAAATCTCACAATTTTCTCGACAATTTTAGTTTGGACATGCATATTTCCTAAAAGTGGATTCTTCAGGCATTGGTTACTTTCTTGCATTATTTTATATGAGATTAAAAAGATTTTAGAAATTTGATTAAAAAAATTTAAGAATATAATTCATACTTGATTAGGCAAAGCTTTTAAGGGTCACTTGAAATTATTTAATAGGATTAAAATATTGGCAAGTTTCACACTCTCTAATTTCTATTTTATTAATTTTGGTCCCTTAATTTAAACTTTTTGTAACTGGAAGTAACCAATTGAGTGTAGTATCATCGTTTTCCTACTCGTATGTTAATATTTTTTTTATGTATGGAATAAATCTTCAGTTGTTTAATTCTAAGCTTAGAATATCAATTTTTGACAATTTGCCTAAAAAGTTACATTTTGCGTAAAACTTGCGGTTTTGCGCAAATTGCGCAAAAAAAATTGCGATTTTGCACAAATTGCACAAAAAAAAATTGAGCAAAACTAAAATTTTGTTTCATGAGCAACTTTCGCAAAAAATATTTCCGGTTTTGCGCAAATTGCGCAAACAAAATAGCGCAAAACCGCGCAAAACTCATTGCGTTTCATGCGCAAAAATAGTGCAAAAGTTCGCAAAAAAAAATTTGCGCGAAAATAGCGCAAATTTTGCGCAAAAAATTTAGCCATTTTGTGGAAACCCTAAATTCATATTGGCGGGGGGGGGAAAAAACCCCCCCCCATATTTGACAAAAAAAGCCCAGATGGGATAGGGTTAATACAGGTTTTTAAATACTGATACTATTGATGTTCATCGGTTTGATTTGGTTTGGTTTGGTTTGGTTTGGTTTTTAAAAGTTTGAAATAAATCCAGATTTGAAAACTGTATTCTAAACTAAAATTTTCTTTATTAAACTTTCAAATATTTTGATTCTAAAAAATGGAAAAAATTTTTTAAAAAAACAATCGTTTCTTTTAGGTTTGTTTTTAGCGCGTTTTTGGTTCGTTTTGTGCATACATTTTCTATCAGGGGCAAAACTATGGCATATTATTAGAAATGGAAATGATCAAAATAAAAAATATTTCTTAAACAACTGTTTTTTTGACACTATTCCAAACTTTGACCCCGAAAGAAAATAATTGCAAAAAAACGACTGAGACTGAACCAACTTCATTCAGTTCAGTGACTGTAACTGAACCAACTTGAATGTTTTGCCAGGTCATGGTTTGAAAGCAAAGCTACAAATAAAATGTTTCTAAATTCAGTTTAAAGAGTGATTGGCTATAATCCTGGAAGATTTTAAAACGTTCCTATTAATCTTTAAAATGTTTCCTCCTTTCTTATTATTCGACACTCCTGGTGGTTACAATGGTTCCACATTGCAATCACTATTTTTCTATCTTAAAACGTGTTTAATTCTCACAATTTTCTTCATTGTCAAGCCTCAATTGAAACTAATTTTTGTTTTTGACAAGAAAAGATATCTTATTCATCCTTAATCAGACAGAGCTTTAAACGGTATCGTTCAAAATCGGAGAGACTTATTTATAAAGTCTTATTTTAAATTACGTCTACTGCTGTATCTTTAATTATGAAAATTTCTAAAAAGTACCTGGTCTGTGAGAGCACCCATCATAAAATCACATTTTATGGATTTCTGCATTATTTCAGCTTTCCTAAATATTAAATACTGTTTACTTGGTCGGAGATGGGAATTCATGAATGGAAAGATGGGAATTTATGAATGGAGAGATGAGAATTTATGAATGGATAGATGGGATTTTAAGAATGGAGAGATGGGTATTTATGAATGGAGTTATGGGTACTTATGAATGGAGAGATGGGAATTTATGAATGGAGAGATGGGAATTTATGAATGGAGTTATGGGATTTTATGGATGGAGAGATAGGAATTTATGAATGTAGAGATGGGAATTTGAATGGAGAGATGGGAATTTATGAATGGAGAGATGAGAATTTATGAATGGAGAGATAGGAATTTATGAATGAAGAGATGGGAGTTTCTGAATGGAGAGATGGGAATTTATGAATGGAGAGATGAGAATTTATGAATGGATAGATGGGATTTTAAGAATGGAGAGATGGGTATTTATGAATGGAGTTATGGGAATTTATGAATGGAGTTATGGGTACTTATGAATGGAGAGATGGGAATTTATGAATGAAGAGATGGTAATTTATGAATGGAGTTATGGGAATTTATGAATGGAGAGATAGGAATTTATGAATGTAGAGATGGGAATTTATGAATGGAGAGATGGGAATTTATGAATGGAGTGATGGGAATTTATGAATAAAGAGATGGGAATTTATGAATGGAGAGATGGGAATTTATGAGTGGAGGGATGGAAATTTATGAATGGAGAGATGGGATGTTATGAATGGAGAGATAGAAATTTATGCATGGAGAGATGGGAATTTATGAATGGAGAGATGAGAATTTATGAATGGAGAGATAGGAATTTATGAATGAAGAGATGGGAGTTTATGAATGGAGAGATAGAAATTTATGAATGGAGTGATGGGAATTTATGAATAAAGAGATGGGAATTTATGAATGGAGAGATGGGAATTTATGAGTGGAGGGATGGGAATTTATGAATGGAGAGATGGGATGTTATGAATGGAGAGATGGGATGTTATGAATGGAGAGATGGGAATTTATGAATGAAGAGATGGGAATTTACGAATGAAGAGATTGGAATTTATGAATGGAGAGATAGGAATTTATGAATAGAGAGATGGGTATTTATAAATGCCCTTTACCCGCACTTACGATTTTAGATATTTTTTCCTAAAAAAGTTGACATACTAAATTTAGAATCTCAAAATTAAACCAAGAACATTGATGTAGGTCCTCTCATTTCCTCAATCAAAATTTGCGACAAATCGGTCCTAGTTAGGCCTAGTTATCTTAAATATAATCATTACATTCACTTTGATAAACTATTTTTTGATTATACAGGAAACTGTTCAAAGATTTTATAAAATAGATAAAAAATGGAAATTAAACAATAAACAATAGAAGAAAATGTCCTCATAGAAACATTAAGACAAGAAAAGGTTATCACTAAATTAGGGTTTCTAAAGATAGACCAATAAAGTGCAAAAACTGAATCTTAAAAGTAAAAAAAAATATTTTACTTTTTTACTTTTAACCATTGGTGTTCTTTTATGTATATTGTACATCTTAAACCCTTCCAGGAATTAACAAATGGAAAATTGTAGAAAAAGTCCATCTACCCGCATTTGAAAAAATGAACCTATGAGAATTAGAATATCCTAAAAAAAAGTTAAACATTTTAGATTATTAGGAGTGAAGCCTTTATTAAAGTGTAGAAAGTTGAATCGAAGCTCAGTTGTACAGAAAATGCCAAATTTGAGCAAATTAAAAAATTAGCTCTGAAATTAATTTCAAGAAAATCTGAAGGGCTATAAATAATAATCAATTAACCATAATGATAAAAAGGCGACTTTAAAGGTCCTGTCGAGTGGCAAGGTTAGATCATGTACAACTTCAAGGGGCTGAGCCCCCCTTGCCCCTACCCCCTATATACGCCTATGCATGTCACATGGTACCCTCTAACCTTAGCTTTAGAAAAAATGATATAGTTAATCTTGTTTTCTATCTATAACTTGAGGAAAGCATGCTCTAAACCTCATGCGTCATATGGTTGCATAAACCGAACCAGCACGAGGATTTACCGGTCAATGGAACCCAGTGTACATTCCATTTCATTTTATGTACCGGGCCGAATTTTAACTAGTCAGGGCAAGCAGTACAGTACATAATACAGACTATATATGATACAACACGGGACAGTACGCCAAATGAATGATCCTCTTCTAGTGAAATGTATATGGGGAGTTATGTAAATCGTAACTTGAGAACTTATGCAGAAGAGACAAGGAGAAATAATACAGAAAAGAAAATAAATGTACACGTCACTTTAAGTACGTTAACAGTCTCTTATATAAACAAGTAATCATAGTAATATAATTAGTTTTCTTTTTCACCTTTATTTCAAAAATAAATTTTTTATTGAATTTCAGATGATGGTTCGCTGATCAATTAACGAACAACAGTATAAGTTAAAATGTTTGTGTGAAGCCCTACAGCAAGTAATATTTTATAATTCAACCTATCATAATATCTACACAAAATCTATCCATCTATCTATCCATCTATCTATCTATCTTTCTATCAATCTATCTATCTATCTATCTAACGATCGATCTATCTATCTATCTATCTATTTTTAATAAAGAAAGAAATCTCTCTGAATTTATAAGTATGTCGCTATTTCAGAGAAATATAAAATACAAGAGGAAATTTTGATAATATCATGTTTGAGTTTTATATGAAATAAGATATTTGCTAAAAGACATGAAGTTTTTTTAAACAAAAAATGTTAAATATTTTGAATGATATTATTTTTTTGTAAAATAATTTTTATGTCAGCCATTCCTTGTAGTGCGTATTACATCTTTGTGTCTTGAGATAACATTTGTTCAACCTTTTAATTTAATTTATTAAAACCATAAATAACAGATTTATATCTTTAATATTTTCGAAATTCTTCTAATTGGTGGGTTCGTAAGTTCAAATTAAATTCTGTTTCTGACAGCTGAATTAAGTTGTTTTATAATTGGATTGGATGTTTTTGAAAATAAAAATGTTAACAAACCACGGGCAGCCGTAGTACATTTGAATTTCCGAGCCGGGTCAACCTTTTCGGTCCCAGTTTGTACTGTATCGCCCGGACATTGGGTAAATGAAACAAACACTCAATAGGATTATGCTGGTGCAACAAGGTTGACGCGGTCAGACTTTAGCTTGAATTTACTTTTACTAAAGGGTCAGGGGTGCGTGCAACCCCCCGAATTATGCTTAAAAGTGAAGAGTACAATGCATGTTCTAACTTCATAGTAGAAATGTATTTGTTATTTAAAAGTTTTTAAAAGTTTTTTTATTTTTTTTTATTTACAGGCTTCAACGGCTTTTAAAAGTCGTAAAAATAGATTTTTCCAAAGTAGCCAAAGGGTTATTATCAAAATATGATAGATTTAAGCATTAAAGCAGTATGACCAAAATAGAGGAAGCCCCCCCCCCCCCCTCCTTGGAAAGGTTTAATATAAACCCTTTCCATGATTAACTTTACCATGAAAATGTCATGCAATGGGAAAACTTTGTTTTTAAACTAAAGTTTGACCTTTCATCTCAAACTTTACAATTGAAATAATATTGGCAAAATTATTTTGGAATTTGTTTAGTTGTTAATTATCCTTTTTTCAAAACTTGTAAAGATTAGGATTCTTATTATTACTAGAAAAATATTTTTTTTATTTTTTGTAAGAAAATAATTTCTTTTCTAACCCTCGGGTGTAAAATTAAAATTACAATTCACTTAAAACAAGGATTTTTTGTCCACTAGGTGTCTCTTTCACGCAGAACCACAGAAAAATCGAGAGCAGAGACACCTGGCGGCCACATAATCGTCGTTTAAATTGCATTGTATGTAAAAACAAATAAAATATATTATGAAATACAACTATATACGGTCCCGTTGTTGGGAATTAAATTGATTTTTTATTACGATCCATGTCGAATATTGCAACTTTCTGAATTTGTATGGATGTTAGGGCTGGGCATAGTTCCGCTAACAAAACAGATGTTTTCAAAAATTAACGGAAGAGTCCATTAACAAACACCGAAAACTGTTAATTTTTAAATTGTTAATAAAACGGATTTGCCGTTTTTGAAAAACATTAACGGCTAAAATTGTGAAAAAAAGTTAATTCGTTAAATTTCCTTATTTTCTGATTAAAATTGCATGACATTTTTTTTATTATTTTAAAATTTTACGCGTTTTGATGTTTTTAAATGTTGTCTTCTGTGTTTATAAACCGTTAACGAAAATTTGTCACCGCTTTCTGCCATTAATTTTTTAATAACGGTAGCATTAACAGCTGGAGCAGTTAACAATTGTTGAAAATTGTCTGTTAACGCCGTTAATAAAATTGAGATTGTTAACTAGCGGTAATATAAAAAAACGGAAAATGCCATTAACGGAACAAACGTTCCGTTCTTACCTTTAAAATTAATGGATTATGAAATTTTTATTTTTTAACGGTTGGAAAGAACCGTTAATACAACAGCTAAAAGTTGGAACGTGCCCAGCCCTAATGGACGCTACGTTCTTTGGTGTAAAAGGAGCTGCTGTAACAATTTTCTCCCTATGGACGTAACAGATAAAGTATGATTGGTAGCAATTACCATCGAATATTTTTCGACGTAAGCCTATTATAACCCCTTTCATTTTTCACGAACACTCCCTTTAAGGCCGTCGTTCAAGTATTATATTCATTTTATTCTATTAATTTTAACCTATAAGGCTTGCTTTAAACTATATTATTTATTAAGTCATTATCAAATTTACTAAACAGTTTAAAAGTTATAACTTGACATGTAAGTAATAAAAATATAATTTTGAAAGAAAACCATACATTGCTTTTCAATTCTCAAAATGAAAAAATGATTGTTTTTATTGAATTTAATAATATTTCTACAAAGGTCTATTAAAGGTTTCGGTTACACCGTTACAATGTTGCATTAAAGCCCTTCATTGTCTGTGGAGTGCAAGGGCAATATGCAAGGAAAGTTATTTCAGAGGTGTACGCATCTTTTGTACTGCAGTGTACTGACACTGTCTCTGGGCGGTAATGTAAACACAAGACGGATGTCGAAGCCTGACATGGGATCCATCTTTCACATAAAAAATCAATGAAATATTCTGGTCATAGGAAACTATTATGTTAATTAACAAATTTATCCAAATTTAATGATTTTAACCTCCTCGGATACTAAACGAACACTGATACATATATTCTTGTTTACAAATTCCGCCCAGAGAGAACTGGTTTCAATATGTACGCAGAGTATACGCAACTGCAATTGACTTTCCTTGCATTATAACCTTGAGCCAGTGCAGGCTGTACAGTATGAATACAGACTATATAAGGTAAAACGGTACAGTATGCTAAATAAATTATACCCTTCTAGTGCAAGCTGTACAGTATGAATACAGACTATATAAGGTAAAACGGTACAGTACGCTGAATAAATTATACCCTTCTAGTGCAAGCTGTACAGTATGAATACAGACTATATAAGGTAAAACGGTACAGTACGCTAAATAAATTATACCCTTCTAGTGCNACTGCTTGTGCAATATGCAGTACACTGCTTGTGCAATATGCAGTACACTGCTTGTGCAATATGCAGTACACTGCTTGTGCAATATGCAGTACACTGCTTGTGCAATATGCAGTACACTGCTTGTGCAATATGCAGTACACTGCTTGTGCAATATGCAGTACACTGCTTGTGCAATATGCAGTACACTGCTTGTGCAATATGCAGTACACTGCTTGTGCAATATGCAGTACACTGCTTGTGCAATATGCAGTACACTGCTTGTGCAATATGCAGTACACTGCTTGTGCAATATGCAGTACACTGCTTGTGCAATATGCAGTACACTGTTTGTGCAATGTGCAGTACACTGCTTGTGCAAAACAAGTTTTGAGAATGCCGCGGAAAATACTGAATACACCATGGGGCATACAAAATATCTACATATTTGTTTACAAAATATATGTACTGCAGTTCAGGGTGGAATGTAAACAAACTCATAGATGCCCTGTCTGAGTTTTGTTTTGTAAACAAAGATAAAGACGGTTCCACAGGTCAATCTGTTTATTACAGTACTCAGGGGTGATTTCTGAAAATATTAAAATGGAGGATTTGTTTTCCATATAACTAATAAAATTCTCTACTCCTTTATCGTGTGCAGGATTACATTTTCACAGGAAGACGTACATTTACAGTCTTTTACACAGAGCAATATTTCATCGGTAATAAACTGTTCTGAGAAAACTAAGTAAAATTCAAGATACAAAAATCTCCAAATACACTTGTACTCCGAAAGCGTACTGCATATTTTATGTTTGTACTGTATGATTAGGTCATAATCTCATAATATCCTTTATCAGTATAAACTATCCCATTAGTGTACACTCAGGCTAATACACACAGAGAGGTAGCTAAGATCTGCAGCCCCTTGGTTAGGGGTCACAGAATAACGCAGGCTGATCATACGCTAGTAAATGCAATATTTATCACAGCAGAGCTGGGAACTTTTGAATGGTGGATATCGGGATTAATGCTTGATCCACTCTTTTTCTTAATCTCCAGATTAACATAATCTTGCAAGATTATCTTAAAAGTGTATGAAAAACGATAAAATTCCTTTTAATATTTTATCATCTGAGAAACTGTAGCAGCCAATCAGAGAAAAGCGGGCAACCAATGAGAGAACAGAAATATTCTCATTGGAGAAAACAATTAACGGATATCCAAGGAGAGAGAAAAAGAGTGGATGAAGGACTAAAATGAAAAGTTTCCACAGTGGATATTCGGATCAAGAAGTCAGGATTAAAGTTTAACTATTCTAAAGTTTTCAGCTCTGGTTCCATTGTGTACAATTGGAGTACACGACCATTCACTGATTCAGGGATATTTAAGGATCCTGTGGATGAGAAATACAAAATCTTAAAAAATATACTAAATTCATAAATTTTAAGTTTCATGTTAGAAGTTAGAGTGTTTCTTTAAAATTGTATAACTTAAACCCTGAATGAATATTATTTTCTACAAGTGGCCGTTAGTTGGCAGTAAATAAAAAGCGTGGAAAAGTAGCATGGCGTGCAGGGAAACAATAGGCCTGCTAGGCTATCCCGTGAGAGTGTATATATGAGGAGTCTGTGTTAGTCTGTGGTATGGGTTTAATAATTCTTGATAATGTTTTGCATCGATATACATAGATGCGAGTATTTTTTTTTGGAAAATTATCTCAATCAACAAAATTGCCATTTAAAGGAAAACGATTCGAAGAATTTATTTAGGAGTAAATTGGTTTTTAATATAGTCATTGCATTGCCAAACATTGCAACGACTATAATATCTGGATTCTGTATATAAATGTCATTACTTTTTAAATGGGGAAGTTTCTTCTAACAATATCGTATTCAATATAAAGAATATATATTTTACCGCCTTTTAACCAACAATACCGACCATATGATTCCCCCAAGAGAGAGGGAGGTTAAGTTACTAAACGTCCCTTGAAACAGTTATGTAAAATAACCTCCCGCACTGTGATTGGGTAATATCAATACAAATATATACGAGTGAAGAGCTTTATTACATAGATATACATTATCTGGACAGTGGACAGCTCAACTTAACGAGTTTTATAATTACAATAACAAAGATTGTGACCAAGACATAGGGTTTCTCAGATGTGATGTCCATAGATAAAGATAGATTGCGCATAAGACGACATTTTTCATCTTGAAAGATTTAAATGTACAGAGATGTTTTAAAGATATTCCTATTTTATAGATTAACTAGGTCGATTGTGAACATTGGCTGTTCTTATGTCATTGAGTACTTGAGTTCTGTAGAGAGAAATTTAAGTTAGTTTAGTCCTTCTCATGTCCTTCTTCAGTACTCGTCATTATGATATATTGCTCAGTGAAATATTGTTGTTCAAATAATTCCATTCCCGGAGTTATTTTACACTCTATTATGAAATTCATTAAAACACCAACCACCCTGCGTATCATTGAAGTACACTTTGACCTCTAGAAGTATGAGTTCGCGGACTGTACAATTCTTGGTGATTTTGCGTACATAAGCTATCTATGTTTATTTATTTATCTATGGTGATGTCACAGTTAACTGTAAACAAACAATTTGTTCCAAAAATACTGAAATAATTCCATATAAAGAACATTTTGATATTGATTTTAGAAAAGAAAGTTTGGTATTAAGGAAATTATACAAAAATGATTTTATATTCTAAAAATATTTTTGTCATTTTTAAAATGCTTCCGGTTTATCGAAACATGCCGTGTTACCTGTATCCTGATATATGTGAGAACTCGTCAGAGACATAAACGATCGGGAAATCTATGATTTGAGCGTTGGCGATGAGAAAGGATGTGTCAGGTAGCTGGGAGGATCTCCTAAAAAACATAAATTGAATATTTTTTGGATTGAGATTTGCCATGTTTAAAGGCATGTCTAGTTTTTCTGAAGAGTTAATGACAAGAAAAATAGCTTGAAATTCGTACAACCGAACCTAACCAGTTTTCTTTGATTTAAAATTAAATCCTGATGAGTTACAAGGTTGCAAAAATATACCATTTATTCCAGGGCACTTGTTTGATGATGTTTTCCTTGCTAAATCGTCCGCTAGTCTTCGTTATTTGTATATTTTGAAGTAATAACAATAACAAATCACAAATATTAAAGGAATCAAGTCTTTGACACAAACTAAAATCTTCTAAACCCTATATCTTTGCAACCTGATAGAGAAGACCTTAGATAGTTCAAACTCAAATTAAACAGAATTTATAGTTTGAAATATCTAAGGTCTACTACATTGGGTTGCAAATATATAGGGATTAGAAAAAAAAACAGAATTTTTCTTGTTTGTTTGGGGGATTTAAAAGTTATTTAAAATATGTCATTTTTTAAGGCAACCTTTATTTTATTTCCATTAAGCCACTAAAAGAATTTTTGAAGACAAACAATAGATAGATAGATAGATAGATAGATAGATAGATAAGTACATAGATAGATAGATAGATAGATAAGTACATTGATAGATCGATAGATAGATAGATAGATAGATAGATAGATAGATAAGTACATAGATAGATGACCTGATAACGTTATCGAGGAAGGTATTTTGAGGAGCTACAAGCCCCCTCCTTCCCCCCGGCATTATTTCCTCCAGAGCTAGCCCATTCTTAAACAAGGAGCTGAATCATTCTTTTACTTGGAGCTGAACCGTTCTTCACTAAGAACTAGCTCATTGCTATACAAGGAGCTAAACCATTCTTATACAAGGAGCCCATTGTTATACTACAGGCTGTAACATTCTTCTGAAACATTAATATAATTGTAACAAATCGTAAATTTGGAATATTCTGAAAATGAAAGTCCTCCTCGAAGGGACAGTAAGCTTAATTTCAAGTGACTCCCATGCAAAAAGGGCAATGCCAGATTTATAACGGTACTCTTTAAACCTTTGTGTGTTTGTCAGTATAGAGATATGTGTGTATAAACTTATCGGAACCCGCTTGTAGTCAGCTGAAAATGCCGGTCTGTCCAAAAATAACGATTTTTTTGGAAAAAAAACTTTTGAAAAACTATGGTTTTTTAACGAACAATTTTTCTGAACAAACGATTTTACTGAACGATCGTTCAGTAAAAACTGAACGAAATAGATGGAAAATGAAAAATAATCTTGAGAACGAAAAAAATCAATTGTTTGTTGAACGATTGAAAAAAAAACGAACGATATGTGCTGTTCGTGAACGAACCAACAAAATAAAAAATCCGAGTGCATCCATCTCTTCTTGAAATTGCGTTGAAAGATGGAAATGCAAGGTGTAGATGATATAATTTACAATATTGTTTATCGGGATTATTTCGTATATATGATTTCGCAGTATCACATGATTTTCCCTTTTTGTCATTTATCAATTATCGGAAATCAAAGACGATATTCGAGTCGTCTTTCAATTCCCGTGTTTACTGGGACACACTGTATATCTTCAGTGACGTAGTAGTATTATATTTCCTCTATTGGTTTTTAAAATAATTTTTATAATTATAAAGCCCTTAAAACGTGAACAGTACGTATCATTAATAGTAGTCAAAAATGTAATATAAAGGAGCTTTACAGCTACAGGACATTTTTTAAACTTATTTAAAATATTTTATATTAAAATGTTTTTAAAATACGAGAAAAGTTCCAATTAAGAATTATTTCATGGAATAAAAATTCTTTCAGTTTTTAAAAGTTTTCTCTAAACATTCCGTAATTGCCGAAAAATCAAATTTTTTTTCAAAAGCATGTCTTTGTTCAACATTTGTTGGTGAGGGGGGAGGGAGGGGGTTACAGTGCTTAAAAAGATAGTATATTTTATTGTTAAGTTGGAAAAGCAAAAACCTTATTAAATCTTCTTTTAAAACAAAGATGTTAACTTTACAATTATACTTTTTAATATGTATAATTTAATCTATATATAAATTTGGCTTGTCATGGTGTTTGTCTGTCTGTCTGTCTGTTTGTATCCAATAAATGTCAAAACGGCTGAACCGATCGGGCCCAAATTTTTTGTAGGACATCTAGGGACCCCAGGGAAGGTTTATGAAAAATCAAAATTTCAAATATTTGTCTCCATCAAAATTCGATCTCCATTAAATTTTTTAAAATTTTGAAAATCCGCGAAATTTTTTGTGAAAATCCGCGAATTATTTTTGTTTTGTTTTACAATGTACACAAAGAGAAAATGTTCACAATTAATTTAGGAGATGGGCGCGAAGCACCCTCTAAGGCTAGTCTATATATAAATTTGGCTTGTCTGTTTGTTTGTCTGTTTGTTTGTTTGTATCCAATAAACGTCAAAACGGCTGAACCGATCGGGCCCAATTTTTTTGTGGGACATCTAGGGACCCCAGGGAAGGTTTATGAATGAATGAAATTTTAAATACTTGTCTCCATCAAAATTTGATCTTCATTAAATTTTTTAAAATTTTGAAAATCCACGAAATTTTTTTGTAAAAATCCACGAATTATTTTTGTTTTGTTTTATGATGTACACAAAGAGAACATGTTCACAATTAATTTAGAAGATGGGCGCGAAGCGCCATCTAAGGCTATTATATCTATTTATAAATTTGTCTTGTCTGTCTGTTTGGGTGGGTGTTTGTTTGTTTGTATCCAATAAACGTCAAAACGGCTGAACCGATCGGCCCCAAATTTTTAGTGGGACATCACGTGACCACAGGGAAGGTTTATGAATGATAAAAAAAAAATTTAAAATGTGTTTTAAAGGTTTTTAATTTTGTAAAAAAAATTTTAATTCTTGAAAATCCGTGAATTTTGGTTAAAAAATCCTTAATTTTTTTTTCTTCTTTGTTTTAAAATGTACACAAAAAGAACATGTTCACAATTTAAATAAAAGATGGGCGCGAAGCGCCCTAAAAGCCTAGTATAATTAAATAACTAAATATTTAAATTGAAAAGTGTGTACACCTAGCTCCTAGCTGCTAGAATTCGAAGGTAAATGTTCCAAAGTTGAGACCATCATCATGCAACTCATGACAATATCACGGAAAGAATTGGAAAACCTGAATATTTCATCAAATCCAATTTAATGCATTATGACGTTGCGTTGTATTTTCTGTATTTTTTTAACTCAATAGAAAGTACAAAATCAATAATTTCGGACACACAAAACTTTTTATTAAGATGAATTATAAAGTTGGTATTAAAAAAAATACTATTCATTTTCACATTTTTTCGGAGGACCACATCATGTTCAATTATAAAAAAATCTTATTATAATATATCCATAAGTATATTAATATATATATATATGTAAAAACAAAAATAAATAAACATAGATATATGATTGATTTCTATGTATATTTATTTACAGGATAAACTTTGAATGCAATTACAAATTAAAATATGGACGTTGAGAACTACAGATTTTTTTGCAAGTAAATATCTATATACTACTAGCTGAAAGGCCCCCCGGCGTTGCTCGTGGAAAAAAGAGAAAATTTAAGAAAAGAAAAATTTTGAAAATTTATTTTCTTCGATTTTGTTAGCCCCCCGGCCACCCATGAGTGTCCACAAAAAAATTCAGCCCATTCGGTCCAGCCGTTTGGCCGGCTATAGGCAACATATATATATTTTATTATATAGATATACTGTTTACTTTAGTTAAATTAAATTGCTACAAACTCTGATATTCTAATTCCTATAGGTTTGAAACCCAATGTTGTAGACCTTAGATATTTCAAACTATGAACTCTGTTAAATAGAAAATCTTAGTTTGGAATATCAAAGGTTTACACAATCAGGGTTAAAAAATATAATGATTAGAACATTTGAGTTTATGGTAAATACTTCAATTTACTGCACGTCCCCCTCCCCAGCTCCTCCTTTGTTTGACTCTTTTCCCGGTGCAATAGTTTCTCTCCGGGGTATAACTTAAATTTCCGATACTAAATTCATTGGTTTTTTAGCACCCCTCGTACTTTTGACTAAGGTGATTATTTTAAACTAGCTTGAGAAATAAGCGCTGCCAAGGTTATTAAAAGTTACTCCCGCCGTTTACCCGCACTTGAGCGATTTTACCGAGAAACTAAATTTTCGCTATTAAAGTCGACCCACTCAACTTAGAAAAGCCAAAACCAAGCTAAGAACATTCCATGTGTCTCTCGAGTTTCCCAGGGGTTCCTGAGTTATGATCGGACAAACAGACAAACAGACACACAGATAGTACATAGATAGTCCTAAACTTAAATTCGAGTTGCTTTAGTGTCATCTTCCTATTCCACAGTTTTCTTGTTTCCACTATTTTTAACCCTAAAAACACTACTAACACTATGGAGGAAGGGGGGGGAGGGAGGGGGGAAGGGAAGGGAGGATTGGAGGGCCCAATTTATCCCATTAATGCCTATGTAAAAAATATTATCTAGTTTTTAGATTCAAGGTTTTCACGGTAAAGAGAAAACTGCAGGAATAATCAGCCTTTTCATGGTAAAGTTTTTAAAAAAAATGGCACAGGGGATTTGTAATTGTGAAGGGTAAAAGTAAATTTTATTTTTATAATTTTAAACTTTATCAAAACTTTAAAAGAAATATTCAATACTAGCTTGAGAACCCAGAATTGCCCAGGAGTCAGAATTTAATGAATTTAAGCAACGTCTCAAATCCGCCAAAAACCGGTATCAATTGAGCGCCGGCATAAATCTTAAAACATTGAATACGATTTCAAATGGAACCAACCATATTTGAACCGCGTCTCAAAGGAATTGAGTCTTTGTCACAAACTATGATTTTCTTATCTCTATATCTTTAACCCAATGCCGTAGACCTTTGATATTTCAAACTATGAATTCTGTTAGATGAAAAAATCTAAGTTTGATATATCAAAGGTTTACACCATCAGGTAGAAAAAATATAGGCATTAGAAAATCAGAGTTTGTTACAAAGCCGTGGCTCAAATTTTTTAAATTCGGCCTCAAGGTACTCAAAGTTATTCCCGCCCGGTGTCTGTCGTCGCTTGGTCATAAATTACGATTTTAGCTTTTTTTCCTAATAAAAAATGAACCCATTCAACTTTAAATATTAAAATCAAGTTAAAACATTTCCGTGAGTTTCTCGAGTTAAACAAATCTTAAAAAATTTTTTAAAAATCGTGTTTATAAAATTCCACAGGCAACTTCAGCTAGTTTTAATTTATACATAAATATTTTGTATTTTAAAATTAAATTAAATTAAATGAAACATATTAAATACTCCAAGAGCTACTGGCAAGTTTTATGAATATTAAACAAGTTTTGTCCTTAACACAGTTGTTTTATTTTTGAATTTTAAAATTCTTGGTTTTACAGAAGAGGAAAGTTTTGGCTTCCTGTCTAGATAACTTGGACACTTTTTATTCGCGGTTTAGAAACTCTGAGACTTGTTACAACTTGTTACAACTTTTTTTACGGTTTTTTTCTTGCTAAGATTTAAATTAAGTACATAGAATAAAAAATGTATGGATTATCATAATATTTTGTAAAGAAAATATATCTGAAAATTGAAGAAATTTTAAAATTTATAAATAAAATATTTTTTTGTCCGAACACAACTCAGATGCTTCAAATTTTGATTGGGGAACTTTGACTGTAATAAGGTAACCTCCGGACAAAGCCGGGTTCCCAAGCTAGTATATGTATATGTATATATATATAAATATGTAGTTGTATATCTCTGTTTGTTTGTATGTGCTATTATCTATATAATAAAACAAGAGATTCGTATATGTATATGTTGCCTATTGCCGGCCAAACGGCTGCACCGATTGGGCTGAATTTTTCTGTGGACACTCATGGGTGACCAGGGGGTGTTATAGGCTAAAATCGAAAATATATATTTTTTAATTTAAAAAAAAAAAATTTTATTTTTTATCGACGGGCAACGCCGGGCCCTCCAGCTAGTAACTCATAAACCCCTTGACCGATGTGCCTCAAAGTTTGGTTTCAATCAAAATGTTATTCCAAGGGGAACTCAGTGGAATCACTGAAATGTCTTAGCACGGCTTAATAGGTAGGTTTTCAAGCAATAAATTGTTTTTAAATTCTGTCATTTCTTCTAGAAGTAGTTTACATTTATAATAATGACAATTTTTAGTATTTACATAGTTAACGTTCTATATTATTCATAAAAAGGAAATACTAGTTTGCTTTCCAAATAATTATTATATGTTTATCTCATAATAGTAAACAATTAAAATAATAATATAATATAATAATATTAGAACATAATTTTCCTAATACAAATATATATTATGAATATGATATTAATGTAAAATGTAAAAAAGTTTAAAAATAACATTGTGCAAATATACCACCATCGCAAATAAAACAGTGTTATAAATTTTGCAAAGCATACATTCCAGTAATTTACTCAGTGAGCTGTCATAGTGTACTTTTTTAATGTACAATTGGCTTTTAGGGTGCTTCGCGCACCCTTTTCTATTCAAAACTTTAACTTTTAAACTGTTGTTCTGAGAGTCGCCATTTTTATCTTTTTTTAAATTTTCGCAGATTTAGCGCATTTTCAAAAATGTGAATCTCAAACGTTTTTTCCTGGCAAAATTGTTGAACTTTCCCATTAACTGACATAAACCTTCCAATGACAAATGCATAAATATATCCCATATTCCTGGTTTGGATGTCCCAGAGAACTAAACTATGAACCCATGGACAGTTTATATATTCCATGGAGAACCATGAACTATGTATCCAATAGTTTAGAAACCCTATACATGATACAACTAAACTATGAACCCATGGACAGTTTATATATTCCATGGGGAACCAATAGTTTAGAAACCCTATACATGATACAACTAAACTATGAACCCATGGACAGTTTATATATTCCATGGGGAACCATGAACTATGTATCCAATAGTTTAGAAACCCCATACATGATACAACTAAACTATGAAAACTGGACAGTTTAGTTATTCTATGGAAAACTATGCAAAAACATTATAGATTAAGATAAACCAAAGAACTGAACTATCTACACTATGGTTTAGATATACCGGAGAACTGAACTATGTATACTATGGTTTAGAAATCCCGGAGAACTGAATTATGTAAACTATGGTTTAGATATCCCAGAAAACTGAACTATGTAATTATGGTTTAGATATACCGGAGAACTGAACTTTGTACATTATGGTTTAGATATACCGGAGAACTGAACTATGTACACTTTGGTTTAGATATACCGGAGAACTGAACTATGTACATTATGGTTTAGATATACCAGAGAACTGAACCATGTACATTATGGTTTAGATATCCCGGAGAACTGAACTATGTACACTGTGGTTTAGATATACCAGAGAACTGAACTATGTACACTATGGTTTAGATATACCGGAGAACTGAACTATGTACACTATTTTTTAAATATCCCGGAGAACTGAAGTATGTACACTGTGGTTTAAATATACCAGAAGACTGAACTATGTAAACTATGGTTTAGATATACCGGAGAACTGAACTATGTACACTATGGTTTAGATATCCCGGAGAACTGAACTATGTGCACTATGGTTTAGATATCCCAGAGAACTGAACTATGTGCACTATGGTTTAGATATCCCAAAGAACTAAACTATGTAAACTATGGTTTTGATATCCCGGAGAACTGAACTATGTACACTATGGTTCAGATATCCTGGAGAACTGAGCTTTGGACACTATAGTTTAGATATCCCGGAGAACTGAACTGTGTACACTATGGCTTAGATATCCCGGAGAACTGAACTATGTAAACTACATTTTAGATATCTTGGAGAACTGAACTATGTACACTACGGTTTAGATATCCCGGAAAAATGAACTATGTACACTGTGGTTTAGATATACCGGAGAACTGAAATATGTACACTATGGTTTAGATATCCCGGAGAACTGAACTATGTACACTACACGGAGAACTGAAATATGTACGCTATGGTTCAGATATCCCGGAGAACTATTCTATGTAAACTATGGTTGTAGTTGAATAAATATATATATGAAGATATCCCGGAGAACTGAACTTTGGACACTATAGTTTAGATATCCCAGAGGACTGAGCTATGTACATTATGGTTTAGATATACCGGAGAACTGAGCTTTGGACACAATGATTTAGATATCCCGGAGAACTGAGCTTTGGACACTATAGTTTAGATATCCCGGAAAACTGAGCTATGTACATTATGGTTTAGATATTCCGGAGAACTGAGCTTTGGACACTATAGTTTAGATATCCCAGAAAACTGAACTTTGTACGCTAATGTTTAGATATCCCAGAGAACAGAACTATGTACACTATGGTTTAAATATCCAAGAGAACTGAGCTATGTACACTATGGTTGAGATATCCCAGAGAAATGAACTATGTAAACTATGGTTTAGATATCCCGGATAACTGAATTATGTAAACACTATGGTTTAGATATACCGGAGAACTGAGCTATGTACACTATGGTTTAGAAATACCGGAGAACTGATATATGTACACTATTTTTCAAAGATCCCGGAGAACTAAATTATGTAAATTATGGTTTAGATATACCGGAGAATTGAACTATGTATACAATGTTTTAGAAATACCGGAGAACTGAACTATGTACGTTACTGTTTATATATCCCAGAGAATTGAACTATGTAAACTATAGTTTAGATATCCCGGAGAACTGAACTATGTAAACTATGGTTTAGATATCCCAGAGAACTGAACTATGTAAATTATGGTTTAGATACACCGGAGAACTGAACTATGTACACAATGGTTTAGATATCCCAGAGAACTGAAGTATGTAAACTATGGTTTAGATATCCCGGAGAACTGAACAATGTACACTTTGGTTTAGATATATTGGAGAACTGAAATATGTACAGTGTACACTATGGTTTAGATATCCCGGAGAACTAAATTATGTACATTATGGTTTAGATATACCGGAGAACTGAACTATGTAGTATGTACATTATGGTTTAGATATCCCGGAGAACTAAATTATGTAAATTATGGTTTAGATATCCCGGAGAACTGAACTATGTACACTATGGTTTAGATATACCGGAGAACTGAAATATTCGGAGGATTTCTCTTCGGACTCTCTAAGTTCAGTTTCTAGATTCTACCTTACTCCTGGTCTAATACACCTCTACCTTTCTTTTATCTAATAAGTTCTCCTACAGAGAAGGTATTCTAATAAATAACTAAAATTATTGTGAGGAAAACTCACATAAATTTATTGGGAGTACTTTTTACTAATTTTGCGATACTGTTTTTGTTATACTATCTATTGTATTTTGTGCACCATGTTTATAACAATCACAAAAAATATGAATTTTTAAATATTTTTCATTTATATTTTTAAGACACACATTTGTTAAAAAGTTAATAGAAATTTGCTTCATGGAACTGTTAACGTAATATAAACTGACTCTCTCTTCAGCTACTTCGAAACACAACGGTACCCTTTAAATGATGGAAAATCGTGATAACATTTTGAACTTTCACAAATTTCTTCATTGTCACTGCAGCCTAAATTCTCTAGTCCCATTCACAGAGAAACCAAAAAAAAAATGTTTATCTCATTCATCCTTTATCAGACAAAAGTTAAAATTTGGCTTTGTAAATATGAAAACTTAAAATAACTGTTTGTATTTATTTTCAAAAGTAAGATTAAGATTTATTGTTTTATTCTAAGACAGAAAAAAAAATAGAAAACGGAAATAATTATGAAAGGTGTTGAAAGAATATTCTCTAGATATTTTCAACTTTTTTATAATCCTAAAACTTTGAACTTTAGAAGAAACTAATTAAAAGTTCCCAATTGAAACTGTTTATATAACCCCCCCTCCCCCTCCTGCCAGAGCAAGATTTTCACATTTCAAATTCACACAATTTTATTCTTTATGTACTTTTTCATATTTAGAAATGAAATACTAGGCTTGACTTTAATCTGAAATCAATAAACAATGAAAATATAAAATATTGTTTTTCATGGAAAAACATTCTCTATATATGTATTGTAATGTATATGTATGCTAATGCTATAGATTATTAATAAAAACAAAAATATTTTTTTAAACAACAATATACATTATACACACACAAAATATCAGCTTATAAATTTACGTGATACATATTAAGCTGATAAAATCAGTTAACGGATTTAACTGATAAATTCAGCCAATATATATTTAACGCTTAAATTTAGCTGAAACTCAGCTGAAATATCAGCAGACATATGTCCACGTGCTACGGACCACGTGCTAGGGATTGCAGAAACCGGTTCCATTCTCCTCCTGATCTATGAGAACGGCGCTGCCCAAACCTAAATCATATTCTATATGATCAACTTTGACAAAGAGATAAACATTATTTTAAATCTATTTAGAATATGCTGAAATCAGAACTTTTGAATCTCAGGATCAAGCATTGATCTCCATCTTAATTAAACAAGTAATGGATATTATTAAACTTTAAAATGTTACAGTTTTGCGTATTCTGTGAATACTTTCATTTAATGTTTAGAATCCGTAACTTAATTTTGGCGCGGATCCGGATTCGGATTTTGTATGTGCAATTGTAAAAATGTAATGCTGATCCAGTTTACACTCAATTTTTTTTTTCAAGATATAAACTTTTTATACCGAGGAAAGTTTCATATTATTCGATATATCCGTAGATTTTTACACACCCAGATTCAGACCTCCACAAAATATTTTTGGATTGTATGCACGTTAAACTAAAGTAATTTCCACTTTAATTGAATACCTCGTGACCTCGTGACCTCGTAGCCAAAACTTTTGAAGCTACGAGGTCACAAAGTCGTACAAGTGATGCCTAAAATAATGTATCATCCTCTCCTGTCTAGTTTGTAGACTGCAGTGTATAAGTCGCATTTTTTTATGAAAAGTAATATTTTTAATTTCTAAACATTTTACCTTTCTCTCAATGTTTCCGACAAACTATGATCTTCAGAATTGATTTCTCCTAGCTGTGCCACAGATGGATTATCAGGTTTAGACTCTTTAAAGGGATTGTTGCCGTAATTTAAAGTAACAATTGATTTTAAAAATTACAAATGCCCGATTCACAATGGCTTCCTTTAAACCTTTCTCAGTGCAAAAATGATGGGGTTTCCTTCACAATTTATTCTCCCTAGGAGTGGATGATTAATTTAGTTTACTGTACCGTTTTTTGTCTAAAAAGGATGTATGTATATATGTATTGAATTTTGTGTAACCCTATATATGTAAACCTGAACTACGTTGTACATTATTAATAACCAAACTACGCTTACTATTAATTATCGACATTTGTAAATTACTAGGCTTTTGAGGCGCTTCGCGCCCATCTTCTAATTAAATTGTGAACATGTTCTTTTTGTTTGCATTTAAAAACAAAGAAGAAAAAAATTTTGCGGATTTAAAAAAAAATCGCAGATTTTCAAGAATTTAAATTTTTTTTACAAAATTAAAAACCTTTAAAACACATTTTTAAAAACTTTTATCATTTATAAACCTTCCCTGTGGTCACGTGATGTCACACAAAAAGTTTGGGCCCGATTGGTTCAGCCGTTTTGACGTTTATTGGATACAAACAGACAAACAGACAAGCCAAATTTATATATAGACTACGGAAAACTTGTATATCTTAAGTACGATGTAAATAACTACGTAAGACCTGTATCATGATTAGCTTTGTAATAATTACGTAAAACTTGTATATCTTAACTATGCTGTAAATAACTATGTACGACCTGTATCATGATTAGCTTAATTACGTTTGTAAATAACTACGTAAAACTTGTAATAATGTTCATTAACTTAAACTGTAGCATAGAAACCAAAAATACATTATTTGAAATAATACTCTGCTTGATTACAGTCTTAGAGTAGTTATAATCCTTGTTTATCAACGAGAGGGTTTTAGTGTATCGGGTAAAACAGATACCAAAGAATACAGATAAAGTTGTGTCTGGATTGACATTGCTACTAAAGTATTATTGAACTAAATAGCTCTTATGCCTCATGGATTAATGAGAGGAATTGAGCATTGATACAGATTAAGTCTTTTCCAAAATGACATTAATACTGAAGTATTATTGAACAGAATAGTTCTTATGCCTTGCAGATTAACGAGAGGGTTTGAGTTGTATCTTAAGGCATAGATACCTGAAGAATACAACGGTTTCTTATCTGGATTGATACAGATTGAGTGTTCTAGATGAGAGTCAACACAAGTTGTATCTTGAAACATAGATACCTGGATTAATACAGATTGAGTTGTATCCGGATTGATACTGAACAAGGTATTATTGAAGAACCTGTGTCCGAATTAAATGAATTTAAGCCACATATCAAATCCACCCCCCCCCCCCCTGAAAACCGGTTTTAATTGACCGCCGCTGGCTTAAATCTTAAATTTAATACAAATTTGAGTGGAACCAACCATATTTAAGCCACTGCTTAAATTAAAACAGCGGCTCAAATTCTTTAAATTCGGCCTCTGGAGTTCTAAATTGAGTTGTACCTGTATATTTGTAATGAGCTAAAAGGAATAGGGCATTTACTACATGTAATCTGTACACAGCTTGCCCTAGCTGCCTTAAAGTTGGCCCGGTACACTGATGAACCAGATTTTTTAGGGCCTTGTGAATTTAGTGCTTTCACGACAAGGTTCTCTATAAAAGTGAGAATAGGATTCTTGCAGCAAAGACAGGGAAGGAAATCGAGGTGTATCTTTCTCATTGCTAGTTTCATAAAGTCCAGAGGGTACCATTGTGATCGTAACTTGACTTGAAATTAGTTCAACAATCCCTTTAATTCTTTTCTTTCTTTGCCCATCCTCCTGGGCAATATCTTCTTTTAAATCTCCTGTTACCGCGGGCTGAGGAAGAAAATGTACCCTGGTATCATGCTTCTGAAAAAGAAGAAAAACTTTTTTACTTTAAGACCTTTTTTATGCTCAAAAATTATTTAAACAAAGGAACAGAGTTCTTGTCACCATAAATCCCTGCTACGTCAAATTAAGATAATCTGCAAGCATGCATAGATTGGAATCTTTAATGTCTTTTATTATAACTCCTTTTTTTTGAAGAGTTTTTAAGAAGAATTGCTAACATGTAAAAATTTGAGTTCATGAAAAGAACATTTTAAGTTTACCAGAATATTTCAATTAAAATATAAACAAATAATAATACAAGATTTCGAAAGAATTTATATGTTGAATTTAATGTTTTATTAATTTTATTAAATTTATTTTTTTTCAAAATAATATTTGTATGATAACACAAAAATCTAAAATTATTTATTGTAATACGAATGTTTTATTCTAACAAAGAGATATTTAAACATCAATTGCTTAAAATCTTAAAATAAACAATATTGATCCTCACCCGTTCTGGAATTTTCGATCTACGATTCCGTCCCAACTTGATGATTGAGAAATTCTTGAATTTACTTTTCTTTCCAGAAACTTTTTTTGATAATCCAGCGCCCATTTTTGCTTATTGTTGGCGGATTTCTTAAAAAGTTTTAGCGCATTTTAGAAAGGAATAACTGCAGATTTGAATGGGTTTGTTAACGATATAATCAGTTTTATATAATTAAAGATATTGTGCGCTACAATGTGGTGTTGTTTTTCACAGAAAAGAAAGGGGGGGGGGTAAGTTACCGTTGCCCCCTGTCTTTTCTGAGGTTTTGAAGTTTTAAAATGCATCATACATTTCAAAACTGTATTCTTGAAAGGATTACATTTTTAAAAACTTTGCAATATCTTATAGTTTTCAAACGATAATTTATGGTTCGCTTTTTGCACATATAAAAAATATTGTCATTGGTTTTAGTATAAGAATAGCAAATAAACAAATTTGAAATTTGTAGAACCCTAAAAGTTTTTTTTTAAACATTGACATGGCAATGTCTCTGCACTTTAACTTCAGACAATAGGAAAATTTAACACAACTGAAATTTCAAATCTAGATAAATAAATTTTATTATCATGAACATTTCCCCACGAGCTATTTCATTTAGTAACCTCTATAGAAATTTTTAGAGAAATTATGAAAATCCATGTTCTAAGTATTGGCTTGTCATGGTTTTACTAAGAAATGTGTGCGTTAAGTTTAAAGAATTAGAAGGTGGAACAGATCAGAAGGATTTCTTATTAATTCAAAATCCTAATTTTCAAATTTAGAATTACAAAACAAAAACATTCTGATATTTATTTTTGAGACCGTGAATCCTTAATAATCTTTGTGAAATGTTTATTTTAAAAAAAGCTTAAATTAGTTATTTTTTTGTACTTTTCCGGGATCGGACCACATATAAGAAAATATGGACCGTTCATATATATATAGGAATTGAGTCTTCGTCACAAACCCAAATTTTCTAATCACTATATCTTTGCAACCTGATGATGTAAATCTTTGATATTTCAAACTTAGATTATTTTATCCAACAGAATTCATAATTTGAAATATTTAAGGTCTACTATTCCAGCTTTAAGTCCAGTTTTCCCCATGAAAGTCAACCCTCTGAATTTAAAAAAAAAATTTTAAATTTTTTATTTTAAATATATTTTGAAGACTATTTTTTATTTTATTTTTTCGTTCCACGGGCAACGCCGGGCCCTTCAGATAGTGGTTAATAAGTTGCATGCATGGCATAATAAAGTACGGCTTGCATACTTTAAACAGCTAAAAACAGCACCCTTCCCCCCCCCCCCCCCTACAAAAACTTTCATGAATTAGAAATGTTACTAAAGGTTTGATTTCAATGAAAACTATTATTTTGTATTTATAAACCTTTAAAATGTAAACTTTGATATCTGGATAGCTTGATTTATTTGTATGTATACTTTGCTTGTTGTTTGTTGTTATCCAATAAACGTCAAAACGGCTGAACCAATCGAACCCAAATTTGTTGGGGCAGCTCAAGGAAGGTTTATGAAACGTAATAGATGAACAATTTTGCCGGGAAAAAACTTCTAGTGTCGACATTTATATTTCTAAAACTCCGCGAAATATAATTTACAAAAGAAAAAATGGTGGCTCGCATTCCAACTTTAAACAGCTAAAAAAGCAAATGGCAATGTCAAATGCAAAGATGTTTGTAGAATATAAAGGAATTGAGTCTTTGGAACAAAATCAAATATTTAAACCTCAATATCTTTAGAACTCGATGTTGTAAACTTTTGATATTTCAAACTCAGATTAGCTTGCATACTTTAAACAGCTAAAAAAGCTAGGAAAAGGAATTAAAACATAGATACAATACATATATATATATATATATATATATATATATATATATATATGCATTAAAAGCCTAGTAACGTCAAATTCAAAGATTAAAAATTATATTATAAATTTGAGCATATGGAAATATTTTAAATTTTATATTATTGATCAAAATATAAATATAATTTTGATTAAAACAATGGCAGTTTTTTGGATCTATCTTTGGATCTATTTTTATAATTTTCCTAACTTGAGAAATACATGTCTGTAGCTTAAATGCAATATTTTAATGTTGTTGTTATCCTACAGTATTCTATAGAATCAGATAACCGTTCCAGTACAACATTATCCTCTTAACCTCCTCCATGCTCTTACAGATATATCTGAGTCGTGCTGGTGAAATTTATCCTAGTTACCACCCCGTGCCAGTACATTTTTAACTCTGTAGCCACTCCGTGCTGGTACATCATCTCTTCTTGTCTTGTTCTGAGAAGAAGGTATAACAACTAACTTATGTTAAGGGAAAATTTTAAAAAACGTTGAGAGAAAAGAATATAGAAAATATACGAATGTTTTAAAATCAACTAATCACTTTAATATGAAAGAAGTTTTAAGGGTCTATCGTCGTTAACCTAGTTTCAGGGGGTCCTACAATTCAAAAGGTGACATACTCATTTCAACGGAACCCTGTCAACTGTTAACTATGTAAACTTTTTATAAAAAACTGCAACTGAAAATAGTCAATTTTCAGATAGAAATAAAGGATTTCTCGTCATCTTTCCTCAAGCATATTTCAATAGTGAATCAGATGTACGTTCATTATAAATTCCCTTTACAATCCCTTTCAGTAAAAAATTTTAATTTCATGAAAAGCCGGCATACTTGAAAACCAGGATACGCTTCTGTCCAAATATAACAAATCATACATAGTTGGAAAACTCTTTTGCACTTATTTTAGAATCTGCGAAAAAAATACAAAATTGCAAAAATTGAATTTTTTTTTGCAAAATCCAGTTATATAGTAAAAATGTTTGAAAACACAAAATAAATGTCCAGAAAATAATAAAATATTTATTTTTGAAAAGCCCCTGACCATGTCAATTCAAATATGTAAAAAGTTTTGCAAAATTTTAAATAACCAGGAAAAGTAGTAATTCAGGCTGTGTGCCTGAGGACTCAGGCATTGAGTAAAAGCCCGGTTTTAGACCTAACGGGGAGGCTATGGGTATTTAGGAACATCAGAAAGTTTCAATAGTCTAAGACCAATACTTTTTGAGTTATGTAAAAAAAACAGGGGGGGGTCAAATTTACTCCCCCCCCCCCAGCAGGAATAGGGTTAAAGTACTAACAAACATCTTTACAAAGAAATTTGGATTTATGAGAGGAGACATACTTATGATCTTTACTTGTTATTGTTGTTGTAGTAAGGGTTTAATGAGAAAGAATACAACACAATAATCTCCCTGAAAGGGGATTTCTGTGATCTTGCCAGGCTGGGTTGACTTTACACTGGGTACTCCTAACTGGACAGTACAGTACATGTTGTACCAGCTCAAATCATGCAATGGATCATTTGGTGTACAGTCCCGTTTTGCTGTCGATAGTCTAGTCTTACCAAGTCTTACTGACTTAAACATACAAATCCGCTATTAAATGAATTTTTCAAATAACAGTTTATTTAATGTAAAATTTTATGATAATTGTATAATTTCTGACAAATAATTATCCAAATACTCTTCTGTACTACTTTTCCTAAAACTAAACATGTATTCATAAAACATCAAACATTACAAAAATGTATTTATTTGTTATTCTACTACTAAACTCTGATAAAGTATGGAAGGGTGGTAAGATCAGCAGGGTATTTGTATATCCAGGTTGGTCCCTCAATAATCTCCTCTGTGTTTCCATCTCGCCAAACCCCAACAGGGAGATATACATCCCGATCCATAGCTCCCTCGTCCATGACAGGCGCTACAAGGATATCATCGCCAAGCAGGAACTCAGAGTCAATGCCCAGTGCTTGGTCGTCTGTAGGATCCAGCCACCAGACAGGCCGGTTAATTGGTATACCTGTTTCTGTAGCTGATATAAAAAAGGAATATATTAGATCAATTAGTGCTGAAGTTATGTAAGATGTGTATATTAATAAAGTACAAATGAAAAACAGTTGACTCGTGCTTTTAGCTATTTAGTTATCATATGGTTTTAGTAGTTTCAGTTCACTTATAACCTCTTTAATAATGAGTAACTACATGAATTTAAATGACAAATGTACCTTGAGTTGCTAACTGTATAATGGTTGGTGCATATTGAGCATGAAGGTTCATCATGACACGTGCATGTTCAACAACTTCATCATCAAACATCCAGGGAACAAATGAGATCTGGACAGCAGGCATGAACACATTCACTTGTAACCATCTAGAATATCAGCTCACTACATGGTGACGAAACACATCATGGAACCAAATTTAATAAATTGACGAGGTTGCTGAACTTTCTATTGCTGATTTAAATCCTGAAGGACCAATTCAAATCCTCAGTAATCTTTAACTTTGAATCTCTCAGATTTGAATTAGCATGGCAGTAGGAAGTTCAGAGAACACTGCAAACTAAGTAGAAACATGTAAATCCCAGTCATAGGACAAGCCAGACAGATATGGCAAAAATCATTCCTTAAAAAGTTGTATTTTTAACATAATATTTAAATATAGCCAATCAATGGCCCGGAATTAATCCCAAACAATATGAGGAAGCTTTCATAATCTCTGATATTCTGAGATAGCAGTGCTCTCCAATTCATTAAATTCGGTCCTTGGTTAAACAAACGTTAAAAAGAAAAATTATAAAATAATATTTGCCGTTTTGTGGACAATTTGTTGAAATTATTATAAAACCTGATGTAGAGCTCTCTGCTTGGTAGATTACCATATCCATTCCCTCCAATCATATCAGGGAGAATAAACGGATACCCTACTATCCCAAACTGTAGCAGAGTTGTTACCATACTCTTTAATCCATTCTCATAGCCCCAGACAGAGAACTTATCCAGCATACGTACAAATCTAGGAATATGCTGAGAGTGTCGTCCAACACGGAGTTCAATCATATTCCCAAACTTAGATATAGCCTCAGCATATCTACAACATTTTAAATTTAAATTAATGTTTGCAAATATCTAAAAAGCTTATTAAATCTTTTTCTTCTTAAATTCTATATCTAAACTTATTTGAATTCAGTTCAGAAAAATAGTAACCATAGTACCATAGTAACCTGGTAGTGAAAATCCCTGGGGAGTTTTGAGAAGTTTCATTTTGGAAATAGTATGATGTTGGAAGCCAGTTATATTCTCCTGCGTCAAATTTGAAGGAATCTATTCCAAACTCAGTCCTAGAAATGCATATCTTAAAATGGTTAATCAAAATCCATAAAAAGTGTCTATGAACATTGTGGGCCGAGCGCTGCGACTAGTGCAGGCTAAAGAAATGAGGGCAGGAGAAAGGAAAGGCTAGGAGGCCAAGGGGCTAGGACATATTTTGCGCAAGGTTGCATTCATATTTTGGGAGAGGGAAGGGAAGGTCCAAATCACTTACTATCAGAAAATACTGTTTTAATTAGATAAACCTGAGTGTATTGAGCCGGTTAGTCCACCAGTCTACTGCATCAGTATTTGTAAAGTCAATGTACCCAGCAGCAAACCCTTGCCACCACCAGGTCAATCCAGGTAGAAACTTAGACACTGGAAGCTCTCCAGTAAAATCTCCAAATTTACCCTTTTCAAGAAATTTCAGTAACTACCAAGTTGGAAATAAGATTTCAAATTATTGTCGGTATAAAGTGGTTTGCTGTTTTAAATATATTCTCACAAGTTTAATAAGAGTTAGCACATTCTCATCAATCTTAAAAGTCGATTTTATTCCATCTCGATTTTGCCCAGTTGGTGAGTGGACTTCAAAAGTAGAAGTTAAGGTAGAGTTTTAAACTAGTTGTTCCATCCACTATTGTTTGGTTGGTATGCAAAATTACTTTCAACAGTAACAAACTTAATGTTCACACTCTCATTAGACTGGTGCTTTAATGAGCATTTAAAAATCTACTTCAAAACCCAATGGTTTGTAGAAATGCTGTACTGGTTTTTTAAGATTTCATTTTTAGATTCACCCAATTGTAGGTTTGGTGCTATGGAAATTCCTCAACACGGAAACGGACAACACAGAAACGGACAAAAAAAACAAATACTTCCCCAAAATAGCATTTTTGAGTTTTTTCAAAAATAATCAGAAATCCCTCAAAACTTGTTTTTTTTAGGAGTTCTCCACTAAGATTGACAGTTGCTAAGATTTGTGTCCCCATTAAAGAAACTGTACTGTAATTTGATCACATGAAGGTTTCAAGGGTTCTGTTGTGAATTAAGTCCTTTTTTAATAGAGGGTCACTTAAAATCATAACAACAGTCTATTACTATTAGGATCTAATTGTCATTTCTTTACTTTTTCATCAAAAACCTTTTACTAAAAGGAGGAAAGTTACCTTAGGGTCTCTGACAACATAAACACTTGTGGGATTTGTTGCAATGCCAAAACTTTCACACTCAAGGTTGACAAATGGATGAATCCATAGGGTTACCCTGAAGCCCTTAGCTTTAAGGTTTGTCACTAATCTGGCAGGATTTGGGAACTTTGTCAGATCAAACTTGGCATCACCATAGCAGGCTTCCCACTTATCATCAATCTCAAGCTGGCTATTATCAAACCCGTAGGAAATAATATTATTGGCAAATTCCATAATGATGCTTTCATTGATTTCAGCTTTGTACTGAGCCCATGTTGACCAGATTGGGCTTGTTATCATTCTTTCATCTGGAATAGAATCTGGTCTTCCCCAGAAATTAGCTGCTGCATATGTCTGCATTTCCTTAGCATTTTCACCAGCACAGAGGGTATAGGACAACTCTAGAGTGTCATCAGCCTTCATTCTGTATGGTAAACTTTTTTTAGAAGCTAGACAGAGTTTTGATGAGCTGTTCTGGTTCCAGCTGTAGAAAAGAGGTTGCTCTCTTTCAACCCAAATTACTCCACCCTTACTGTTTATCCAGTAGGGTTCTGCTACACCTAAGTAGGAAATTGTTTGAAAACCATTCAGAAATTGAGTGGATAATAAAATAAATCTTCATGTGACTTTCTGCATAGCCTTCCGTCACAGTGATAGTGTAAAAAATAATTTTGCTGTGGAGATTTAAACTATAGACTGAAATCATAAATCATAATGGAAGAACTATTAAGAGAACACAATAATTTCGATTTCTAGAATGTTGCCAAATAAAGGAGTTTAGTCTTTCCAGCAAACTCTGATTTTCTTATCCAATATCTTTACAACCCAATGTCTATAGATAATTCAAACTATAAATTCTGTTAAATCAAATATAAAATGTTTGAAATATCAAGAGTTTAAACCATCAGGTTGCAAAGGATAAGAAAATTTTAGTTTGTGGCAAAGACTACATTCCTTTGAAATTGTGCCTTACCTCCAAAATATTGATCCTGGATCTTATCTCCAGAGAGATATGTACTTTGTAGTGTACTTACCTCCAAAATACTGATCTTTATCCTGAATCATATCTCCTGGAAGATATGGGACACTTTGTAGTGTATTTTACCTCCAAAGTACTGATCTTTATCCTAAACCATTGTTACGCGAGCCATGCTGCGTGAAGAAAGTCTGTTTGTCGCCCCTGCGTATTTCT